TTTACAATATCCACAAGTTGAAGGTTTTTTTGGTATTGGCTGGTGAGGGCTTGCTGATGCTCCCCATTGAGTATGAAAAACAATGTCATTATATTATCATTTGTTGATAATAAAGTAGGTGTAAATAATTAACTTACTTCACTTTTAGTTGGCCTTTTGGGGCATCCCCTCTTGTTGTGTTTGGGTTGCTTGCAAAGTGAGCACGTGATTTGTCCACCTTCCTTTGTCATCTTTTCTAGCTGTCCCACCTTCACCTTTCTGGTTTCATTATCACTCTTCATCCTATTCACCTTAGGCTTACCCTGCTTGCATCTAAATGGCAGTGGTTCTAGTGGCTCCCCCATGATAATTTTCCTAGAATTTCTCATCATTACAAGGCATGATTGGTACATTGTATGCATGTTCATACTTAACCCTTTTGTACCAAATTGATACAAATTCATTCGGATCGAAGTTACCTAAACTTATCGCAGACAACACATGAGGACATGGAATTCTTGTTAAATCCCATGCTCTACAACTACACTGTTTCCCAATCAAATCCACAACAAATTTTTCATTCCAATGCCAAACATCATATTAGGTCCTACCATTCCATTCACATCTGCTTTTGACAGCTTCAATCTTATGTGCTTCTAATTTCTTCCTAATTCTAGGTGCTATATCTCATTTCCATTTGCTGACTTCTTCTCTATTCTTAGCCATCCTAACCATCACTTTAACCCTTAAACATTCTAACAATTGGATGATTGGCATATACCTGGCATCCATTATCTAATTGTTGAAGGTTTCATTCATGTTGTTATCCACCACATCACATTTACATGAGGTGTCAAAAAATGCCTTGCACCACAACTCTGGTGGGATTGATTTTAAGGCATCATGACCTTCCATGATTAAATTTCTGATCTCTTCCATGTTTTTGTTGAATTGACCTTTATACGTTGACCTTGCAACAATCCAAAATCTTTTCTTCAATAGTTTCCCTCTGAAAATTTTTTGTCAATTGACATATAAATGCCTGGCATACAATCTATGCCTAACATACAATCTATGCCTAACATACAATCTATGCCTAACCTCGGGGAAAACTGTTTGTCTTGCATTAATCAACCCTTACCAAATTGTGTTTAATGAAAACAAATAAAGTTAATGACTGATAATAAACTCAATTGAATTATACAATAAATAACATTGATGACTATAGTAACATAAATATATTGATAATATAAATTAATTCATAATAAACTATGCACACTTACAGGATATTGGTCCGAAATGAACGTTAAGTCTCGCCCGGTGTGATTTGATAGATCATTAGCTAGGCATATAAAAAAAAAAAAGGGTCCATGAGCTGGTACACTTTGAGTCAACAACAGCCCAAGCTATTGGGAACATTTGATTGTTCCATCCCTTGCAACAGCTGCCAAAAGAGTTCCTTTGAACATCCCCTTGAGGAAACAGGCATCTACTCCAATTACTGGTCTACAGCCCAGTAGAAAACCCTTTCTACATCCTTCTAGACACACATAAATTCCTTTAAACATAGGCTTTCCCTCTGGAGTTGTGGGTGGCTCACTGTTAATTTGAACATTTGACTGAGGGAATAATTTCAACAGCTCTTCTGCGTACCTTCTTAATTGAGCAAATTCCTTCGTGTAAATTTCCTTCACCTCCTTCATAATCCTTTCCTTTGCTAATTTACACTTATCATTTGAAACATAAACTTTTAATTCTAAATGAGACAATCTCACTATCTCATTGATTCTGATATGTGAATTGGCAAAAATTCTGTTCCTATGATGTTCTGCAAGTACCCTCGACCCAACCATGTCAAACTTCAAACTCCTAAAGCAAGTGTGTTCCCTGCAATGTGTCTTCACCTTAAAAGTCTTGTCATTTATATCAAAACTAGCAAAGATTTGCCAATTGCACTGTTGACCAACACAGTGAATTTTCTACTTGGTGGGGTCACTTTTAATAGGTTTCAACCTACAGCCTTTTTGAATTTGGTACTTAGCTATAGCCTCCTTAAACTGTGCTACATGCTCAAACCTCATCCCTACCTCAAACCAAACAATATTCCATGAAGGATTAAACCATAAATCATTCCTTCTAGTAGTTCTTACATCTTGTTCTTCTTCTTCAAGTTCATGTTCATCTGCAACATTGTACTTACTTGAATCATCACTAGAAACCTCAAATTCATCTTCACTATTTTCAAAGCTAGAATTAGAACCCAAATCTCCATGGTCATCAGTTCCTATAGGAAGCCTTTCACCCTCTTCATTAACTGTGGTAGGGGAGTCATGGATTGTGCCGCTTGGTCCAACACCATATGCATTTTTTCTTGCACTGGCTTTATGTTTCTTTTTATTGCAAATAAATTCAAGCACCTCCTCATCAACTGCATCACTAGGCACAATATCAAGCAAATCCTCATCATCATGATCATTCTTTTCTTGATCTTGTTGTTGGGTTGCATCACCTCCATGCACTACATCTGTTTCGTCAGCATCACCTTCAGCTGCTGTTTCTAGAGCTTCATGAAAATTTGGGACTAGTTGTGAATTTTGTGTCACACAACCTTCCCCACTATCCTCATCATCTGCATCATTACGCACAATATTAGGCAGCTCCTCATCATCATGATCATTCTTCTGTAGATCTTCTTGTTGGGCTACATCACCTCCATTCATTGCATTTGTTTCATTAGCATCACCTTTAGCTGCTGTTTCTGGAGCTTCATGAAAATTTGGGGTTGGTTGTGAATTTTGTGTTGCACAACCTTCCCCAATGTCCATTGTACCTTCATCAACTGCTTCTTGCAGAACAGTGCCACCTTCAAGCAAATCTAAAATGTTTGATTCATCACAGACATGCTTAACATACACATCTATAATTCCCCTTTCATTTAAAAGGTACCGCATGTGAATAAGCTCCTGCTTACTATTTATAACCTTTAATGCTTCACCAAATTTTTCCACATAAGGATCTTTGTAATAGATGTCCTTAAAATGCATATATCCAAGGCTTTTTATCCTCTGCTCTAAATACGACAAAGTCACACAATGATATTCAATATGCTCATCATGTACTTCGCTTATAGCATACCTAAGATCCTTATTATTACTCATGCAAAAAGTGCCACTATGGTGAATTCTTAATGTCCCCATTGTTGTCATATAGGAAGAAAAAGATATAAATTAATATAAATTAACACACATTTAAGCATTAAATCTATAAATCAAGTTATTGATTACAAA